TCATCCCCGGTTGGGGCACCGGGAGAACCGGGCTGGGGGTCCCCGGCACCCGCCCGAGCCTGAGCGCAGAGCGGGGGAGCGGCGGGGGGCTCCAGCGCCGCCAGGCACACCCGGTACGGGGCTCGGGGCTGCAGCGCCCGCACCACGTACTCYCCCCGTTCTCCCCGCACCAACGTTTCGGTCACCGCTCCACCGCCGGGACGGAGCCAACTCAACCTCAGCGACGCCCCGGGAGGAGCCGGTGGCCACCGCACCCTCAGCGCTCCACCGGGAGCTGCTTGAACCCACAACCCCGGCGCGGCGGCGGCGGCGCCTCCCGGAGAAGAAGCGCCCGCCGCTCCGTTCGACGCCGCCGGCGACACGGCGGCCACACCGGGGACCGTCCCCGCACCCGCAGCAGCACCACCACCGCCACCACCACCGCCCCCTCCCCCGGCGGGGGTCTCGCAGGCGTCCATCTCAGCCCGCAGCTCGCCCACCGGCAGCCCCCTCAGCCTCGCCGGCGCCTGGCACAGCAACCCCCGCACCTCCAAGCGCGGCGGGGCGCGGCGGCGCAGCCAGTCCCGCAGCCAGGCCAGGTTACAACCGCAGAACCAAGGGTTGTTCCGCAGCCCCAGGTGGCTCAGGCTGCCCAGATCGTCGAAGAGCCCTCTGGGCAGCGTGGTCAGGTTGTTGTCCGACAGGTCCAGCCGTTCCAACGCCCTCATCCTGGCCAAAGCTCCGGCCGGAACGTGGCTGATGGCGTTGGCGGCCAGCGACAGCCGCCGCAGCCGCGCTCGGGGCAAATTCGCCGGCGGCGCCGCCAGCGCGTTTCGACCCAGCGARAGCTCGCTGAGGTTGCCCAAACGGCTGAAGGTGTCGTCTGCCATGCGTTGGTTCGCCAGAAGGTTCCCGTCCAGCACCAGGCGCCGCAGCGCCGGCAGCCCCTCGAAAGCTCGCAGCGGGATGGTGTGGATGCGGTTATCGTCCAAGCGCAGCTCCTCCAGCGCCGGCGGCAGCCCCGCGGGGACGCTGCTCAGGTGGTTRCGGGATAAAAACAAAAGCCGCAACCGGCGATTCTCGGCGAACGCGTCCTCCTCGATGCCGGCCGCCGACACCGAGTTATCATCCAGGTGAAGGCGTTCGAGAAGCGGCGCTCTGGCCAGAGCCCGGCGGCACAAACCGCGCACGTTGTTCTCCTGAAGGTGCAGCTCCCGCAGCGCCGGMGGAAGGTGAGCGGGGAGCTGCTCCAGAGCGTTGGCGTACAGGTAAAGCACCCGCAGCGCCGGTAGCCGGCCCAGGCGAGCCGGGATCCCCGCGTCGCCGATGCGGTTGTTTTGTAGGAAMAGCGTGGTGGCCCCGGGCGGGAGCCCCTCGGGTACCGCCGTCAGCCCGCGGTCGTTGCAGTAAACGCGGCCGCCCGAGCAGCGGCAAACGGACGGGCAGGCGGTGGCCACGGTGGCCAGCAGGGTCAGGGTGGTGGTGGCCACGGCGGTGAGAAGAGGTGGTGGCGGTGGTGGCCACCGCCGAGGTGAGCGGGGTAGGGGA